AACCGTCGTCAGTTCAATGTATAAATAATGGACGAACAAGTACCATGAAAAAAGTCAGTCAGCATTTCACTCAATGATAAATTGTATTTGCTGACAAGGTCATTGTATCGACAATAGAGCTTACGAATTCGAAATGATGAATTTAAACGAGACTACTGATATTTTTGTTTCATCAACTTGTTTGTCAATAACTTACATCGTTTTAGAAATTGTTCATACGTGGAACATGCTCTTGCATATCGAATGAACTGAGATTCATAAACTCCGTATGCAGGTGATGAAGGTATATTACTGCATAAGTAAGGGAGGCTGACGATGGAAAAGTTAAAGTCATCACATTTATCACAAAGCTTGTTTGTTAGATTACAATTAACGTCTTTTTAAAGTAAGATATCCAAATATGAAACAGATCTGTCAGACTCTGTGGTATCTTTTATCTCAAGCTCACCAGGATATATCGTATCTATGAAAGAAAGGAGATAATAACTGTAAATTGACAATACGTTGTCAATATATACGTATTTTAATGTCGAGTTGAAGGCCACAACAAGTGTTTTCTTCTTTCATGCATTAGATTTTGCCACAAATTCTGCTTCATATGAATACAACAAATAGTCTGCTAATAACGGGGTGCAATTGTTACCCATTGGAATTCCAATAGATTGTTGTGTTCAAAAACAACATAAATATTGTCAATCAGAAACTCAAGCATCTTTTTGATGTCGACTTCAGAGTACTTGTGTGCACAATTAGAATGTTTTTTTAACAAAATAATTTTGAAAATGACCAATAAACAAGGTAAGTAAATTAACGAGTTCCAGTTTTATTGAAAAAGCAGCTGTAAATGATATGGAAAAGCCTGAACTTTAATTTATCGTGGGGAATGGTTGCGTATAAAGTTGAAAAAATTTTAAAGCAATATGAGCTGTATTTTTGAGAGTTTTAAATGCTGGTAAAATGTGTTATTATGATTAATCTGTATGTAATCTAAACCCTTATGATCGATAAAACCAAATTAAAATACTTCTGTACAAGTGAATATACAGAATTATATAAGAAATCATTATTGTACAGGACGACAATAATTCAATTTGCTTCAGTCAAAGCGTATAAAAAGTTCTTTTGTAGAAAATATAAACAGCAGAAGTTTATAAATGTTCTATTTTTCTGTCATTAAAATAGTTAATTACAAATTTTCAAAAAAAAATTCTGATGTCAAACATGCAGCTAATATTGCTTTAAGCTATTGATTTCGGTAAAATCTTGTGATTTCAAATTGTCCAAATGTTCCTAGAATTTTTAAGCATCCACATTTACAACTCTTCGGAAAATTAAAAATATTTAAGAATTTTCTTCTTACAAAAGAAACACTAAGAGTATAAGTTAGATTACCACTTGTAGAATGAAATTAAAGTTCTTCTAAAATACAATATATTGTACAAATAAGCTATACCTAGTTCATAGTCAAAAATTTCATTATGATATTAGATATCTCTTGATTGTATGATTTACCGTAAATCTGGAATTTTTTACGTAGATTTTATTTTGCGAATTCGGGTCAAAATGCTGTAGATTAATTTTTACGTTTCAAAATTTGCGAATGACCACTGCTTTGTTTACATTTCCTTATTGGTGATTTATTTTTAAGAAAAATATTTTTGCGAATGCAATGAACTCGCAAGTCATGTAAATATTTCAGCAAACCCTGATAAAATTCTTGGTTGGCTGAAGCATAAATGCTAGCATATACTAAGAAAGCAGCTGTCCATCTGCTGATATTTTGAATCTTATTGCTAGGTTTAACAAACCCCTTTTTCATTAAAAAATGTTTTTTTCTCTGAAGATTCTGTCAGGGAAGTGTTATCAAGCAACAAAATATTCTGTATGTATGTTGAACTAATGATTTTATACTTCAACAAGTTAGATACATTGCTAGCCAATAGTGAATGCATGCTTTCTACATATTGGTTCTCATAACCAATGCTTGAACCTGATTGAGATTCAATGGCCAAAGCAGGCACAGGTGCTGAGGGAGAGTTCGACTTTTTGGCAACAACTACATTCTCTTTGTTGGCGATGCTTCCTAAAGGACCTAGTTCCTGTACTGCAGGATTATCGTCAATGGCTGCCGCTGGTCGCTCTTGCCTTGACCTTTTTGACCTTGATGCTTTCCTCTCATGGTCTATGCAATTCCTCTTATTCTTATTTTTTGGTGGCATTTCCGCTCGTTAGAGTTAATAATAAACATAAAATTACGAACTTTAATTCACAAAAGACAAACTTTTTACTTTTGTTACGCGTAAAATTAGAAAACAATATATTCAAATATGGCTGTCGTGTCTCTTTAAAAAATCGGACTTTAAATCCGGCACATTCCAGAGAAAATATATACGCTGGATTGAAATAACATTAAAAACATACAACTTTAATATCCATGAACAAATTTTAAATATATTTAAGACTAATGCAAAAAAAATTTTACCAAAAATTTTATAATATGAAAAAAAAATGTCATAGAAATATTTAACGTTCTCTATGTCCAGCAAGTTGTTCTGACAGGCCAAATCACTGGACTGTTAGCGCATACACCTAATTACAGAATTAGGCTTTTGTAATCATTTAATATGTATATTCTGACAAAATACTGAGAAATCCACAACTTCAATTCAAATATTTCAAAATGGCAAATCCGTGTTGGCCTAGGTACAGTCTATATTTCATTGGCTGGTTTGACTTGTTTACTTTCTTGCAAGCTTCCTGCAAACAAAGAACGAGTGCACTTATGGGCCCCGGTAAAATGTGAAAAAAATAAACTATCAAATTAAGCAAAATTTTTGATCGCAAATCATTAACTGATATCTTAACCGTACGATTCAACAAATTTTACCGCTGAAATTCACGAATATACAAATAACAAAACCATAGAATGTGGCAAGGGTCAGCCGACATTCGTGATTTTCTATAGTAAATCGAGCACGGTCATTCATTTCAAAGCTTTTGTTTACTATGAGTCTAACTTTGTACAAACTTGTGCGAATGACAAAAGACGCATAATACATTATATTTTATAAAACTTGTGTGAAAGTAGGAAATTTGTACACGATTATATTTTTCCTATAGCTAGTGAGTGTTATTTACCTGTATGACCCATGTTGAACCCACGTGTGGAATGAATAATTTAAATACTGATAGTAACGTGAGTTCTACTCATGTAAACGTTCCTCAAACGTGCTCACTATAAAACATCGGCAGGTTTTGTATCATTTAGTCAGTCGTGCCGCTTAGAATTTGCATTTATGTTTAAGAAAACGGGAGGGTAAAGAGAGTTTAGTGCCATTTATAAAAGTGTCAAACATTTTTAACATTCTTGCAAGACAATGATTCAGGTATTGAAAGCCACCTAAACACTCCTCTTTAATTTCTAATTCAATGAAACTATTGTTGTATTTTTTTTTCAAATACAAGAGTATATACCAATTTATTTGTTTGATCATAATGGCTACAGGCAACTACAAAACTTCATTATTTTTTTTTAAAAACAGATTTGGCAAAAAGTAACATTCCACAAACGCGCCCAACTATGATCCACCATCAGATTGTTTAAGTGTCGATTTAAATATCTGTTCGCCTTGAAACTAAAAGAAGGTTCGGTACGACTTTTCCGGATTTAGGGTATCCATAGGCATATAAAAATATTCAATTGTTTCAGATCAATGCTGATTTAGGTGATGCTTAACGTCCATTTTAATCAGAAATATACACTAGTATCTAACTATTCCCAAAAGAGAACGATTTGGTAAGATATTCTAAAGTAAAATGGTACATAAAAAGGGCCCATTAAGTATTGCTTAAGTGCACTTGTCCTTTAATGTTTCCTACGAACAGCAGATTGACTTGTGTGTTTTTACAATGTTATTGCAACCATATTTTGAGTTGCTGCAAAATTGCTGCGAGCTTGTAGAAAAGGTTGTAATGTTGGCCGCAAAATCGCAGCTAGCAGAAATAATTTGCGAGCAAGAAATCTTTCTCCCTGCATACAATTTTGTTTGCTGAGGTTGTTGCAAACATTACACATTCTTAGAAATGCCCATACCAGCAGTTCAAAAACCAACTTTAGAAAGACATACAACTTGTACATAAAAATGAATAACTTTATGATATTTCAATACATTTTTACTTTTACTTACCAAAGATTCATTTTTCGTTCTGTGTAGCTGTAAAACAAAATTTGAGACTAATCACAAATGGACCGTCTTATTTATTAATGATTAATGTTTTTACTCTATTAAAAGTTTGATAGGACTTCCTTCCTTCACGTGTATATTTATTGTGACAAGACCTTTCAATCTGTTTGTCTCTCTGTCTGTCTGTTGTCAACTTAAACCTAGACCATAACTATTGAGTGGGTTGACATATTTCACAAGCGCATTTTTTGTGACAAGACCTTTCTTTAGGTACCTCCAAATATGACCTCTTGACCTTGACTTTTGAGTTTGACCTACTTTTACAAAAAATACTACACGTTAACATTGGCAATAACTTTTGAACAGTTGGAGCTAGGGCTTTCATCCTTCACATGTATATTCATTGCGACAAGACCTTCCAGCTTTACAAATATTTGACATTTTGACATTTACCTAAGAGTTTGACCCACTTTTTAGAAAAATTAACATTGGTTTATGCCCCCAGATCGAAAGATCCCAGGGGTCTATTCTTTTTGCCCTGTCTTTTTGCCCCCACCCATCAGAACCAAGTGCTTTCAGTACTTTCACTAAACAACAAAGATTATCCACATTTTGCACTTTTTAACCTAGCCCATAACTATTGAGTGAGTGGGCTATGGCTTTCACACTTCACAGGTGCATTCCTTGTGACAAGACCTTTCGTTGGGTACCACCAAATTTGATCTCTTGACCTTGATCTAGGAGTTTGGCATACTTTAAAAAAAAAAACCCATATTTTAACCTTGGCCATAATTTAAAATAGTTGGAGCTGGGGTTTTCATCCTTCACACGTACATGTATATTAATCGTGACAAGACCTTTCAGCTGGAATAGATATTTTTGACCATGATCTAAAAGTTTGACCAACTTTTCAAAAACTTTTAACATTGGTCATAACTTTTGAGCAGTACACATTTCTTGACTGGGTTAGAGAGAAACAGTCGATCTGTTGGACCTGTGTAACGTTGAATATTGACCCGAGTTGAAAATTGAACTGGGGGTATTTTTTCAACGTTGAATATTGAGCCAGGGGTGTTTTTTCTCCGTTGAAAATTGAGACCAAAAGCGTTGAATTTATACCCGAGGACATTTTTCAACAGCTTGATAATTTTTTTCTTATCCCTGATGACCACAACAAGTTGAAAATTGACCCTGTTGAATATTGACCCCACCTCAGAGTTTGAACATTATTTGAACTTGGAGGTTGTTTTACGGGATTTATCAGTATCTCTATACTTATATTTTGGTTTCAACATTTCCCTTTTCAAGAGTACTAGAAATAAACTATCATCTCGTGTATATATGTACATTTTGATCAGTGCACGATTTCAGAAATCTTTAAGCATGGCAGTTAATTTTTTGATTGATTGATTGATTGTATATTGTTTAACGTCCCTCTCGAGAATTTTTCACTCATTTGGAGACATCACTGTATGCCGGTGATATTTTTGACAATACTTTCTAAAATCCATAGCATCGATAAATAACTACAAAACTATGAATAGGGCATAAACACAAGTCCTGGAAATTCGGTGTTAAAATAAGACATCAATCAGCCAAACTTGTCCATGAAATTTATTAGGACCCTACACTCTAAACCAAACTTCTAAACCAGGCATTCCTTTCTGTTGGAAATATAAGTATTCATTAATATATATAGAAATATAGTAAAGAGTGTTCGGCAGTTTTTGTAACGGGTACTTGCCCTAAGGCCTCCCTCATCAGGGGTCCACCTTAGCAGTGTATTCTTGTGGTAAACATGATTTCAAAATTATATCATAATCGCCTTTGCTTTTGTCTTTGCTATAAGCTTTTATTGGTTCCGAGGTAAATATTTCTTTGCATCTTGTGTCTGTTTTCGTTTCGTTCCAGTATTTTCAGATGCATTTTTTAGTCCGTTGACTCTCGGATTATATTTTGTAACCATAATCAATTTATTGTGGGGTCTCCAGTGGCCATTACTTTTATTTAGGATCTCATTTCTCAGCTATGTTAAGGACGGATATGGAAAATGTGACCTTAGCACCGTTTTGATATGCATTACTTCTTTTAAAAAAAATTGTAGCAAAGCAACTGAATACCTGTATAACATGTAATATAGCTATCCATAATTGATAGGACTGGGCCGTAGTTATTACCATTTATATCGCATGTATCAGCTGTTTGTTACTTGACTTTTATGAAAATAGAATTGTTAAGCTGAATTTAGTAATTTACCATAGTGTGAGGGCATACGCTTGTTTTTTTTTTTTTTTTTTTTTTTTAGAAAAAAATTGATACACATTAAAAGATGTTTATTTCCTTTACCTAAAAAGTGCTGGGAGCTAGTCTGCGCTGTTTGCGAAGTACTGAAAATTTTGCCAAAAATGCTTATAATACCTAAAAATCTACTTCGCTTAAATTCTGTTATAAATAAAAATAATGTAATGCAGACCAGGATCAGCTCCCAACACTTTTTAAAATATACACTATATAAGCAATCAATATTCCGAATTTCAGCTCAAACAAAATAGTCTATGCCCTTGCACTTTTGATGTAAATAACGAATACGCTTATCGTTTTTGCGATATTCTCTACATTCCTTGGTTAGATTTAACAATTAGCGATGATATCATATTTATTCTAGCATTCTTGTAATTATCAAACCAGTGAATCCAACTGTGCTGCGTCATGTCAAGGCTGATGAAGTCATATTTGACACAAGACTTTCTTCTTTTACTCGACTGTATTGCTATCAAGTATTGCAATTTTACAAGATTTTATAAATAATTTATAAAATAAATAAATTCAAGTTGTTATTTACGCATCATCATGTCGTTAATTATTTGTGCCTTTTTAAATTTCAATGACGTCGCAAGTAAACTTCCAATGCGGTACCAGGAATGTAACCTTCCTTAACGTAGCTGAGTTCTGTCAGTTCCAATTATTCCTGTGATAATAGAATCAATTTCTGTATCAGAGAAGCCTCTCTTTGACAAGTGTTTCTTAAAGTCTTGTAGAATAATACTGAGATCAGTGTCATTGGTATTTCTCACATGTCTTTTGGCTCCAGCAGATTTCACTAGATTGGCCGTCCATCAAGTCCATGTCGTGTGTGACAGACAAGATTCCAGACACTTGTTCAGATAATGTGAAAGCGGACTTAAAACACATGTTGGAAAAACATCGTTCAGTGTTCCAGAGTGACATAGGTACGGTTAAGGGTATTGAAGCTACACTCAACTTAAAGCCGGACGCTAAACCAAAGTTCTGTAAAGCCCGCTCAGTACCGTATGCTCTCAAGCCTAAGGTCGAGGCTGAACTGGACAAACTAGTCAGAGATGATATCATAACCAAGGTGGACTACAGCGAATGGGCAACGCCTATTGTCCCTGTCATCAAATCTGATAAAAGTGTGCGCATATGTGGTGATTTCAAGGTGACACTGAACCCTGTTCTTGAAATCGATCAGTATCCGCTGCCCCGCATTGAAGACGTTTTTGCGGCACTCGCAGGTGGTAAGCGATTCACCAAGTTAGATTTACGACATGCATATCTGCAAATGAGAGTAAATGAGGAGTCGCGCAACTTATTGACAATAAATACAGAGAAAGGACTCTACCGCTACAACCGTTTAGTTTATGGTGTGGCCTCAGCTCCTGCGATCTGGCAGAGGACCATCGACACAGTCTTACAGGGTCTCACAGGCGTCAAATGTATCATTGATGATATGATAATAACGGGCTCATCTGAGGAAGAACACCTGAAGAATTTGGAAGCTGTATTAACGCGCCTAGATGAATACAACATGCGTGTAAACTTGAATAAGTGTGAATTCTTCAGAGAACGTGTTTCTTATTGTGGACATGAAATAGACTGTGAGGGTCTGCACAAAACGCAATCCAAGATTGAAGCAGTTGTCAGTGCGCCGAAGCCGAAGAATGTTTCTGAGTTGCGATCATTTCTGGGCATTGTTAACTATTATGCCAGATTTTTGCCCAACCTTTCAAGTCTTTTGTACCCGTTACACCAGTTACTGTCCAAGAGCCGGAAGTGGTCCTGGTCTAGCGAATGTGACAAGGCATTTTCTGAAGTCAAACAGCTTATTACCTCTGATGAGATTTTGACTCATTACGACCCACAGCGAGAGGTGCGATTAGCATGTGATGCTTCACCTTATGGTTTAGGGTGTGTATTATCCCATGTCATGGATGACGGATCAGAGAGACCGATAGCATATGCATCTCGCTCATTGTCGTCAGCAGAGCGGAACTATTCACAGATAGATCGTGAGGCTCTGGGGATAGTATGGGGTGTGAAACGTTTTCATACATACCTCTATGGAAGACACTTCACTTTATTGACGGATCATCGCCCTCTTATGTCCATCTTCAGCCCCAGCAAAGGTGTATCAGTCACCACAGCAGCACGCATGCAGAGATGTGCTCTGATTTTATCAGGGTATGATTATGACATTATGTACAAAAACACCAAAGCGCATGGAAATGCAGATAGCTTATCGAGGCTACCACTGTCTGACTGTGAAGCTGATGATGATTATCAAGATATTGACTTGATGTACCTACCACAAATTGAAACATTACCAATCACCAGTGACCGTATTAGACAGGAAACTGGACGTGATCCTGTCACTGTGAAGGTATATGGTTATACCATGAATGGATGGAACTTTTCGGTCAAAGCAGATGATAAGGAGTTGTATCCCTACTTTACGCGTAAGGACGAGTTAACCATTCACAATGGATGTTTGTTGTGGGGAATGAGAGTTGTTGTTCCAACAAAGCTTAGGGATCACATACTTAAGGAGCTTCATTTAGGTCATATTGGAGTAGTGAAGATGAAGGCATTAGCTCGAAGTGTGGTATGGTGGCCTGGGATCGATCTTGATATAGAGAGGATCACGAAAGCATGCTCAGGATGTCAGGAATTCAAGCGTGCACCTCCAGCAGCTCCCATTCATCCGTGGGAGTGGCCCACTAAACCTTGGGAACGTATCCATATAGACTTCGCTGGGCCTTTTATGAACTGGATGTTCCTAGTAGCAGTAGATGCACATTCTAAATGGCCCGAGGTCATAATGATGCGCGAGACGACATCCCACAAGACTATTGAGGTCTTGAGAAGTATCTTTGCTAGGAATGGTGTTCCTACGGTGTTGGTCAGTGATAACGGACCTCAGTTTACGTCAGACGAGTTTGGAAACTTCATTCGTACCAATGGAATAAAGCATGTGACTTCTGCTCCATATCATCCTAGCTCAAATGGATTAGCGGAACGTTTTGTACAATCGTTCAAGTCCGCAATGAAGTCAAGCAAGAAAGATGGAGGTTCTGTGGAAACGAAGTTATCTAACTTTTTACTAGCCTATCGCAACGCAGCACATTCAACTACTGGAGAGTCACCCGCAAAGCTATTCATTGGTCGTTCATTGCAGTCACGACTAGATTTGATAAAACCAGACATTGAACAAAATGTTAAAAACAAACAGTTTCACATCGCAACTAAGAGATCAAGTTCATTGCGTGTGTTTGAACCTGGGCAAAGTGTGATTGTTACGGACTACCGTCACAGTTCAAAGTCGGACTGGGTACCAGGAACCGTTCAAGAGCAGACGGGACCAGTTTCTTATAGAGTACAAGTTGGGGACAATACATGGAGAAGACACGTGGATCAGATACAGGATTCTTCACTAAAGAATCAGGGAGTTGTACCCAGTGATCTTGAGAAGTTTGTGCCACAGGTACATGTACCAACTCCTACAGTTAGTGCTAAGCTGTCTAGTCCGGAAGTCCTTCCGCAAAGTCCGAAAGTCAGGCAGTTGAGTCCAGAGGTCTTCAACAGGAAGAAAGCTAATAGTCCTATCCAGGAACAGAAATCTCAGCCAGAAGTTAGGACCGAGCCTACAACACTAGCCAGACAAAATCCAAGACGAAATGTTGGACCGCCCAAACGTTTCAGTGACTTTGTTACTTTCAAATGAATTGTGCATTTTGTTTTGTATAATGGCACAGTTTTGGGGCACAATAATCCCCGTGCCTTTGTGTTGACCAAGAGGTCATTTTCACTTTGTATTACTGTATTGTGTTGAATGTATTGACCTGATAAAACATGTCTATGAAGTTTAAAATTTGAAATGTGTATATTGCCCAAATTTCATTCAATTTCAGTTCTGATTTAAATTCTTGTGGGAGTCAAAATTAAGTGGGGAGGAATGTTATAATTTAGTTAATCTGATATTTTTAATCCGGAATTATATAATCTTCTTTTGTTGGTTCTGTAATACTGTGCGTACTCTTACAATAAAGTAGTTCCAAAATGGCATCCTTCTGTGGAGCACATGTGTTTTGACTGTGCACGAACCCATTGTCTAAAAAGACATAACATTTACCTTTAACGAAACCTTTGAATACCGCTGGGTTGTTAGAACTTTCTCTGTGTAGATATTGGAAATTGTTTGTTGGTTTTATGTAAGATCTAATATCAAGTTTGTTTGATTCTTGAAATTTTCTTCCTTTATACTTTTGTGTCTAAAAAGTTTACTGAATCAACAGAGATTTCAAAGGCGAATTTTGAGTGCAGATGACACCGATTGCCAAGTTCAAAGAAATCGAGAATCTCAGTCTCAGAACCATTGAAATTGATGAAACCATCATCTCAAAATCTGCCATGACACAAGTTTTTATTAACAAATTGAAACATCGCTAAAAGGGGAGATCACCCCCGCTTTCAATCCTCTACTTAACAAAATAAATACGTATTGTGAGGTTCGTTTTTGAACTGTTTGATTAACTATGCCAAAAGATCACTAAACCTTTCATTTTGAAAAAAAAAAAATCCATTTTTCAAAAAGTTATGCATAACTAAATAAGCATAAAAACGTACGTGCATCATGCGTTAAACTCTCAGAGAGTTAGGATCCAATTTTTTTCTTTTTTATCAAGTACTACCTCTTACTTTCTTTCTTTGACTACACTGTAACGTGCCTGTTGAAAGGGGGGAAGAGCTAAACCAATTTCACTTTGTTCAATGCCTATATTAATTATGTGTATCTTTGCAAAAAAATGGGGGTGGCTAAGAATCCCTACCCCCTTCCCCCTTCCCGACGCCCATGGATTAAATCAAAGTTGAAAACCAAGTCATAAATATGTGTTTTTATGCTGTTGTAGTTAGAAGCGGTTTCATGATCAAAATTCCACGACCCGACTCAGTTTTCAACGGACTTGGGTCTAAATTCAACATCTTAGGTCTCAGTATTTAACGTTGAAAAATGACCCCCGGGTCAATTTTCAACCCGGGTCAAAATTCAACGTTACACCGGAGTGCAAGCTATGACCTAAGGCAGTAGGCCGCGGGCAACAGGTTGCACTCCGGTCAAACAGGTCGACTGTTTCCCGAGACTTCTGTCAACAACTGTTTTGTTATACTCCTACCAAATCAAATTCATATATTTAACAAAAGTAAAATTGTTTTGGGAGAGAGAGACTTTATCATGTTTATGTGTAATTAAAATATTTATCAACAATCATGAATCATAACAAACAAGAATGACATAACAAACAGTTGTAAAGCTACTAGCTTTGTAAAAGAATACATTTCAATTCTACAATTTTGAACACATTTTAATTGCTAATGGTAACGTTACATCCATGAAAAGAAAAGATTGATTTTGTGAAAATCACGCTAGGAATTCTAATGCCCGCGTTCTCAAAGTTTCCAAAGAGTGGGTTGTCAAGAAGGAAAGCAAGTTCTTCGTAGCTAACATCAACAATATCTGAAAGTACATTCGAGTATCGACTGGATTTCTTCCTCGTTTGCAGCAGCAAAACTAACATCGGCCATTTCTGTTTATCTTAACGCCATGTTTAATTTATTCGGCACTCCTCGGCTGATTACATTTAAATCACGATTATGCGATCAGCCGAGGTTTGCCGAATGAGGAAAACATAACGCAGTTTAGCGCCATATGACGTCAGCTGGCAACAGTATACAGTTAAAGTATATCATTGATGGAGTCAGCAAGATTTCAGTTCCCCAAGAGCAAGTCTATTTCCCGAGGCACTTGCGCCGAGAGAAATAATCTTGCTCGAGGAAAACTGGAAGCTTGCTGACTCCCTCAGTGATATACTTTAACTGTTTTATCATACTGATACAAACAAGACTTTTGAAAAAGTTATATTCAATACTCGCCATTTCAGTTGTCGTTTGCTATCAGTAAACTGGTTCTTTTTGATTGATATCGGACTAGTTGAGTTGCGATGCATTTTGATTCATTAATGAATATTCATGAGTTAATTCGGAACATTTCTAAGTTTGTCGTAAGTTCAAAGAAAATGCTAAGTGTTCCGAATAGGTGTGTATAGTTCATAAAAAACGAACTTTTTTTGCAGTGAATCAGTCTGTTTTGCAAGGAATCTGTTTATTCAAGGTGAATTTTCAGGAAATCAGCAAAATATATCGATTTACTTTTATATAGTGAAAAATCAGTAGAGGTATAATTATCTTTTTTAACAGTCAATTTAAACAGTTCCTTGGACCGACAGTCGGAGAAAACAGTCGAACTGTTGGACCTTTTAAAGTGAGAAAATATTATATATAAAGACTGTTTAGTAAGGGTATAACAATTAGAACTAGGGCTATCATATTTCATAGGTGTATTTCATGTAAGAAAATCTTCCTGATCTTTTGACCTTGACCTTAGAGTTTGACTCACCTAAAAAAATTAATCTTTACCATAATTTTTTAACTGTTAGTACTAGGGCATTCATATTTCACAGGTGTGTTCCTTGTGATATGGCCTTCTATTGGGTACGTACAAACAGCTTTGACATTTTCGCCTTGATCGTGGTTTTGTCACAAGGAATACGTCTATAAGATATAAACGCCATTGCCCAAACCCATTCAAATGTTATGGGCAATTCTTTTTTGCAGAAAAGTAAGCAGACAGACATACAGAAAGACAGACGGACAGGAAAAAAATGTACCTACGAATCTTCGATTTCGGGACATAAAATAGACAATTATCTTAGTGAAATAAATGATGCCTCCCTATGATAGCATATGCAAGTTAAACTCCGAATTCTAGGTCAAAAGATCAAAATTCTTGGTACCCCCAAAAAGTTTTTTACAAAGAAATAAATCTGTGGAATACAAAAGCACTAGTTTTTACAGTTCAAAAGTTATGGTCAAGGTTAACCTTTTTAAAAAGTGGGTCAAACTCTAAGGTCTAAATTTCAAATAATTATTTTATTATCTAAGAAAAGGTCTAATCACAGTTAATATATATGTGAATTACCAAACTCCTAGCACCAGCTATTTTAAAGTTATGGTTATGATTAAATTTCAAATTTTTTTTGTATAATTGGTTCAAACTCAAAGGTAAAGGTCACGTGGTCCAATCTGGTGGTACCGAACGAAAGGCCTTGTCACAAGGAATGCTTTTGTGGACAAAGAGACAGACAGACGCACGGACAGGTTAAAAACTATATACCCCCGAATCTTCGATTACGGGGGCATAAAAAGATAATTGCTTCTCAATTTACAACTGTTTTTTTTTATTCTTCTACTGCAATCTTAAACTGATGTTATGAAAAATTATGCATGCAAATTCTATTTCAAAATATCCTGTTGTTACATGTATACCTCGGAATGATACATTCGGTGAACCATGTACACTCAGTACTCCGCGGACAGCAATATCTTGTACCAATACAACAGTGGTAACCTTAATCCGGGCACTGGCTATCCGAGTAACACGTATACGTATCATCTAAAATTGTATAATATATTTTAACATCGAAATTAAAACCAAATATTTTATTTACAATCATGTAGTATAATCTAAGGAATCAATGTCTAGTTAGTAGAGTATGCCGGAGCATCAACGATCGTTGGAAATGTGGGATATATATTTTGCAATATATTTACATATATACTTTACATATTATTTACATATATAATTTATAACGGGCAAAGCCAGAATATTGATCATGAAATCATATCAGCTTACCTGGTACTTTCAAAATGTTATCACAGAGAAAACAAATTGAAATGGAAATATACTGAAATCAGATCGAATCGTTACGTAACCCTTTTAACGAATATGCAGACAGACACATTGATGCAAGGACGCCCTATACCTTATTCCTGCATGCTACTAGTAATCTCCTCTTATCAACCATTTGATAATTAGAATTTTAGTCAGTTCCTGTACCTCCATAACTATTTTTTTTATATAACAAACTCAATGGATTATATACAAAGTAAAAAAGTATGCTTTTGAGGTTTCTAATGAATAGTGTCATGTTAAGCAATTGCAAAATAATCAAAAATTACAAATCTTTCATTTTTACGAAATCACCTAATTATATTGCACATAATGGTAGGTCCGTTACAATAATATTTTACTAAGAACTTTTTAAATAAAAGCTACCTGTTTTTCTTCAATAATAATAGATTTTTAATTTCCAAAGATAATATATTTGAACAAAACGATAATTTATATTCCTAGGAAACTGGTAATATATCAATTATATTTGGACTGAACGATCGATCCCTCTCACTGATAATAACATTTTTTTGTATCCGTCACTGGCACTTGTTTCGGGAAAAATTTAAACCCATAGTACTATATAATAATAACACAAGAGTATATTACTCCGAATTACACTCAGTACCCCCTTCTCACAAACGCACTCATTTACACTTTCATAGGAAATGCACTGGCAAGCTATTTATTACCAGGTACTATTTTCGACGCTATTTACGGAGATAAAAGAAAAGAAAGACATGCATGCCATATATAATTTATGGCAAGTTAATTTCATAAAAATGAGCTAAATATAGTTTTACAGTTGATAAACGTAGTTTATCAACTGTAAACTATAGTTTACGATTCGTTAACTATAGTTTTCATCTGTAAAACTATACAAACTATTGTAAACTATGGTTTACGAATGCTTATCTAAGTTTATCTGTCTCTCATTAAACGTTAACAATAGATTTTGTTGATAAACACAGAATCACCTCTGTAAACTATCATTTACATTCGTGAACTATACTTAAGAGTTGGTTAATTCTAGTTTCAAAAATCGAAAAACTGTATATATCATAAACGATATTTTGCAGTCGCAAATGGTTGTTTTAAGTGTTTTTTAAAGATAACTTTTGTAAATTATAGATTATCGCATAAACTATAATTGTTTACAGATATGAAATATAGATTATCATCGTTAACTGCAGTTTACGGACCGTAAACTATAGACTACAGTCGATAAATGTGAAACTATGATTAGCTAAGTTTTGTGAATTTGGCGTGCCATACATATAGTGTATTGCTCTATAGATAAATTATCGTAGAAGGAAAATTATAATAAAAAAAATTGCCAGACGTGCATTTCCTCTGAAAATGTAAATGAGTCCGTTTGCGAGGAAGGAGGTACATGTACTGAGTGTAATTCGGAATTAGATACCTTGTGTTGTTATTATTATATACTGAAAGGAAAAAGAAACGCATGAGAACAAAATATGCGAAAATATGTTGACTAAGTGGCCGAAAATTATAAAAATTGGTTAGACGTGTATTGTCGTTACTAAGCAATAAAATTGCTGGTCAAAACTACTCAACCATGGAATGTATGGCGTCACGTGGGGAAGTGATTTTTAAAAAAAAAAGCCAAAATAAAAAAAAAAAAAAATCCGTGAATATTGATAAGTCAATTTTGTGATCGCAATTTATAGTGCAAAACGATGTGTTAGAGTTAAAGACATCGTTATTGCATATATTTGTAGTCAGTATAAATTTCTTGCGATCATGGTATGGCGGATGGAAGTTACATTGGGTATAGTAATTGAATTGTATATAAAAATGAATAAAAAGGCAAACACATGTTGTTGTGCAGTTTGTTTTTAACTTTTTAACCAAAAAGTTTTTGGTTGTCAGAGAGTAACTTAATAGTTTCATACCAGCCATGATGATGATCAACATCATATCAAGATAGGGCTTTTCATCATGCCACCTCGGTTATCGTCAAGGCATTATCAGTTAAACCGATATTTATACAGCAGACAATCATACGCGTAATTTTTACCCTAATACTGACAGAAACTCTCTGCTTTAAGTTGCTTCGCCACCTTGGCAGCTTTACGTCGATTTTACTCTCACACGCGTACGTAAGCATCGTATACGTAATATTTTTGCATGTTCACACTGGGAAATGTAGCCAGTGTTTGACGAGACTTTTTTGACATCCATTCACGTGCACCAAACTGTTGGGATTCTGTTATTTCTATCCTAAATCGAAAATTCGTGAGATTCATTGAATTGGAGAATTTGTTGGCATTAGAATGTTACAGCTACTCTCAACCATTACATGTAAGACTACCACTGGAAGGGTTGAATAATAATCCTATGAGAAAGATAAATGCTCTGTTGAACTCGATGTACAGGAGAATCAAGGCTGTTACCGATGCGCAAGGGAGGTGATGAGAATGTTTATTTCAATTTTTGAGAGGTATCGACACATAAGTTTCAATCACATGAATTATCAATTAAAGTCACTCAGGGCTTTGGTAACTTGTTGATTAATGATGAATTAAAATGTTTGATAACAATTCTAGAAAACATTCGAAATAATAATTTTAATTTACTTCAAAAGTTACTATGCGTTTCTTTTTCCTTTCAGTATACAATGGAATCAATTTTTTTCCGAAACAAGTGCCTGTGGTATCCTTGTATATTATCAGACCTGAATGAAATTCCATTGTCTCGAAATCATTATCAGCTGACCCTTACTTAATTAAGAACAATTTAACATACTATAATATTACCTGTGAACTAATTCAAAGAATTGCGGTTCCCCGATTTTGGTGTCTTTGTGGGTGATATGTCATTTTTATGGCATATTGTGTTAGATATGAACGCTCTGTCATTCAGGTAAAGATCTTTTTTTGGTCAGATATCATAGCAGGCAAATATTTGTCACATGTAATGCACATGTCAAACATGAAAGCCCTATCTCTTCTTAATCAAAAGTCATCAGGAAAAAAATGAAAAAAATTGTATAGAATGTCAAACTTCAAGGCCAAGAACACACTATCAAAAATAATCGTGTCATAAGAAATTTCTTGTCACAAGCAATACATTAATTTAATTCGAAAGCCGATAGAATATTTGTCACAGATAAAACACAACTTAAATCTGAAAGCTCTACATCTTCTCTTTCAAATGTTATCGTAAATTTAAAGTAATGATTTTTTTTAAGTAGGTCAAACTTCAAAGTCACGGGGTCAAAATTCATAGTGTATTTAGAAAGGTCTTGCTTGTAATACATAGGTTTAATACGAAAGCCTTATCTATTTTAATTCAAAAGATTTTGAAAAGAAAATCAAACTTCAGGGTCAAGGTCAAGAGCTCAAAATTCATGATAGTGTATTTAGAAATATCTTGTCACAGGTAATATACATGTTTTATAGGAAAACCTTACCTTTCCTCATTCAAAAGTTATGGCCTATTCTAAGTAATGTGTATTTTTTAAAATTAGATCAAACGTCAAGATCACAGGATAAGAAATGACAGTGTATTTAGAAAGGTTTTGTCACAGAAAAAATACATTTTAAATCTCAAAGTCCTACCTCAGTCTTTTCTTTACAAATAGTATGGTCAATTTAAAGAAATGTTTATATTTTAAAAGTAGGTCAAACTTCAAGATCACATGGTAAAAATCATAGTGTATTTAGAACCGTCTTGTCAAAGGCAATACACAGGTTTAAAACGAATGCCCTATCTAATCTCATTCGAAAGTTATGACAAAGATTAAATTTTTTTAATAGTAAGTCAAACTTCAAGTTCAAGGTAATGAGGCCAAACATCATAGTGTATTAAGAAAGATCTTGTCACAGGTAAAATATTATATTTAATAAAAAAAAAACCTTATCTCTTCTCAATCAAAAGTTATAAGGAAAAAAATTAACATTTTTGAAAGGTAGGTCTAACTTTAGGGTCAAGGTCACAAGATCAAAAATAGCAGTGTGTCGAGAAAGGTCTTATTACAAGCAATACACAGATCGAATATGAAAGCCCTTTCCCTTCTCATTCAAAAGTTATGACCAAGGTGAAATGTATGGCCCATTCAAAATAATGTTTATATTTTTAAAATAGGTCAAACTTCAAGGTCAAGGTCACGGGGTAAAAGTCATATTGTATTTAGAAAGTTTTGGTCACAGGTAATAGACATGTATAATATGAAATCCCTATCTTTTCCCATTCAAAAGATATGACCAAGGAATAGGTTTTTGTGTCGGACGGACAGATTGCCAGAACTACAGACTGACAGACGAATGAGAATTAATGTACCTTCGGTTTCAAAAATGCAGGGGACAATAAAAGAAAATGTTTGTATTCACAATAAATAGAATGTTTATATCAATTGCAAGTTTATTTTTTTTCAAGATTCAGTAAATGAAAGAATGTGAATTGAAGTGGAGGATATTATGTAAATTAGATTTTAAAACATTACTTTAAGAAACCTTACCATCTGTTCCTGAACAAAGGTAGATAAAATCAAATATTAGAATTATCAGCACAGATTTGGTAGTACTCATTCTTACTGGCGAAATGTTTTTTGAAAATTGATGGCATGATTTCGCAATAACCTGTAGAAAGGAAATTTTCTGACGTCAGCATAAATTTGCATCATATGCGCTTGGGTTAAGGATAATGCGTAATTTGTCTAAAATGTATTTGCGATTCAATTCGAACTATACTCGTAACATTTTTCCCAGCGCACAGTATTAATTTTAGTTTTTTGTAAAGTTTTCTGCTTTAGGTACAGAACAATGTCACAGAAATTCGGTTTTATGCCATAAAAAATGCACGTTTTAAAAATGACATATTCCACTGTATACTAAAAAAGTATCTTTTTAGTAAACAGTGGGATATGAAAAAAGAAAAAAAAAGAAAGAAAAATCCAGGAATTTTAAATTTAGAACTGTTACATTCATTCATATTCCAAATTATGGAAAAATATTGTTGCTTCGTTGAAAAGAAATCAATTTGAGGAGAAAGGTTGTCCTCATTCAAAGCGACAAAAATGATGACGTTGTTGAACGTCACGGAGCAGTAGATAACGATGAATATTTACATTTCCAATAAATTTCCCCTATGATTCCTTACAAAATAAAATGCAGCATATTTTTTCATGAACTACATAACGTATGTACCACGAATAAGCATGAATATCTCCATTGTTACGTCATAAAACATGTACCGCTCTTGACGTCAAAAAATATTTTATCCTGCAACTACCCCTTGCATTGACCTAATAAAGGTAACCTAATAAACCAAAGCTTTATCCGGTCACTGCTCTAATAAAGCCTCGTGCATGTATTCCGACGTTCTAAAAGCATTGTGACGTCACGTATATTGCAATATTTACGCCATGGCGTCATAATTTCAACTGCAGAGACGTGCCTAAATCTGTCGAAAATGGCTAGTTTTGGACGTTCAAAGGTAAATGTGTTGCAGGATAAACAAAATACATGATAACTGTCTTGAAATACAAGCGATATTTGGGCTTGGGTCGAAAACTTGAGAGGGCTCGGAAAGCCTCGCCCTCTATCACGTTTTCTTACCCTCGCCCAAATATCGCCTCTATTTCAAGACAGTAACCATGTATTTTATATGTGCACACTGATTTGCTTCAAAAATGACAGTTGAATGGCGTAAATTTATGGCTTGAGGGGGGGGGGGGACCTATGTCGTTCTACGTCATAACAGCGTTATTTGACGTCACAATAGCGACTTTTCTTTTATATCTGCTGACTTTCGCTAAGTTCTGTGATTTAGGCCTAACATTGTTTATAGTCAATAACATACACATGTTTCAAAAAGAAAATTTATTCATTATTAATAATTGCCATAGACATTCGTTAATTTATAGAGTTTTGTA